TATCCTTCACCGGTTCCTTGCCACCGTAAAACTGGTTGCCGACACCTTGCCCTTATGGATTGACAGACTCCTCGACTTCTGCGGTTTGAACTGCATTCCGCTCCATTGGACCACCGCGTCCAATCTTTTCAGGATCGTGCGGGCAGATTCCTCGCTGCCCGTTATAATAGTCGTGTCATCCATAAATGCGCGTAGTGGCGGCATTCAGTGGTCCCCAATTTGAAGGCCCTGTCCGTAGCCGCCCCCCCCCCCCCCGGTCTAACATGATCTGCATTGCCATAACAAACAGTATGGGTGAGATCGTACAGCCCATAGCTATCCCAATCTGCAACTCAGCCCACCTCGTGGTAAACGTCGAGGTAGAGAAGCGCAAAGCGAACTTAGAGAAATATTGCTCGATCATTTGATTGATCTGTGCCAGTACGTGAAACATGCGTAGGGCTCGCCACAGTAGCCTATGGGGTCCAACCATATTACGTGCAATTGTGTTCTCTCATGCTTGGCTCTCTGGATAGCCTCCCAAATCATGGTCGCGTGTTCAAGGCACCCAGGAACGCTTGGAATACCACCCTTCTGAACACTCGTATCGATGTACTTGTTAGCCATCAGATACTGTGTGAGCCGGCGAGCCATGACCGAGAAGAATATCTTACCCTCGACATTCAACAGCAAGATGGGCCTGAATTGGGAAAGACTCTTCGAGTCCTGCTCTTTGGGAATGTAGACCCCATTTGCCTTTTGCCACTCAGGACATATGTGATTGCGGATCCACGCTTGTCTCAACAAGACGTGAAGCATTTTTAGGATTTTCGGGCAGCGCTTGTAAAAAACGTACGGGACACCATTCGGACCTGGGGCAGACTTGCCGCTAGCCTTTTTCACAACTTCCTCAACCTCAGACCAAAGGGGAGGTATCATTTTAAATGGTACCTTCGGCACCGAAGGCTGCTTGAGGCCGCTAAGGATCTCTGGATTTTCATCGAGAGGCTCTCTCCTCTTTTTGTCAGAGTACATCTTGCGTAGATGTAACTCAAGTTCTTCCTGACTGACAACCAGAGTCTCAGACTTCGGTTGCTCGAATAGACCTCGAGCAAACTGATACGGGTCTCTAAAGAATTTATCTCGCTCCCTTTTGGTTCTTCGTCTGTTGGCACAGAAACGCTCAGCGCGACAGAGGACACTGTGTTTGTTCTTTAAATGCAACCAAACTTCGTACAGCCCCTCCCGTTCGCTGCCTGTAGCGGCTTTGAACCGTTTTCTGAGGGAATTCTTGTCTGCCCGACACTTCAGAATGTCCCTCTGTCTCCTGCTAGTATTCTGCTTGGCACCCGGCTGTGCCTTTTCTACTGTCCCGAACTCACGGGAGCAGTGTTCATATACTACATCACCGAATTTTGTAAGCTTGTCGCCTAACGACTTCTTGTTTAAATCATGTTTAAGTACCTCACATAATGTAGCCTCCAACTTACACCACACCACCTTATCGCTCGCAGACGAAACCTGATCTTGGAACGCACTTCCTCAGAAATCATCAAATGTGCTCCTCCGCAGTCGACGTCATGGGCCTCTCCGGGCGAGTGGGGTTCACCCTGCCCGTCGTTCCCTGACGACTCAGAAACTACCACAGGAGTAGTAGTTTTGCGACGGCGTTTACTGCGTGGAGCACCCTCGCATTTCATTCTTCCGGCATGCGTTCTCAGACCATGCAACCCCGTGAAGCTTTTCCCACATGTGCAGAGCCAGCCCGGACGTTAGGCGAGTATCTGAGTCCGGGGGCTAGCATAGTCGTCACCGAGAGTATCAATTTGATTGGGCCCTTCATTCTCCCACTCTTTCGGAGGGCCCTGGGGGCAAATTTCTATGTGGTTGTACGAAATCGGAGGTATTATACTGTGTTAGGGGTGATCAACCCGGTCCACAGTCGACATCTGTCTCCATATGTCAGTTTATCCCCCCGGCGATACCGGGGGGGGGGGGGCAGTCTTTCCATAGGTGTCACAAAGGTCTTTCCCGAGAGTCACCAGTCTTTCCTGGTAGTCTTGTGGGCTAGCCACGTACAATAGGAATAAACTCACAGGGAGCAAGTACAGCAGTACCAGTCGTCAGTAGAAATTATCCTCGTCAACGAGCGTTTCGGCCCACGATTCCTAGACGCTTTCGGAGGTGGGCCCACCTGAGTTCATGAAGCTCAGGGCTGGTACCCTGCTGCACGAAATTACCGGATGGTGTTTTTTTTCGGATAGGGACAAGACGACTTGGTGGTTGCAGAAGGTACTGTGAGATAAGAAGTCGTCGCGGCAGCCTAATTAAAGCAGTCAGCATAATTGGACGACCGAGCGACAAGCTTACGATTGGTTTACCAGACACATGTTGGACTTTTATTAGCAGGTGGCAGAGGATCACTGGCAGACAATTCGGACACGATGGACTTTCAAGGGGTGAGAAACCCTTTTCCACTAGACACCCGGACCAGCTCACCGAGGCCCGTCCCCTACGTTGTTGCGTTGCGTCCAAAGCCAGCTAGAGGCCCTTTCGGCTACCTCTACCAGTTTTTTGAGTGTTCGTTTCCGTTCATTACCGCCCAATCCTAGTTCTTTAACCACATTGTAGAGCGAAGTGGAAACAAGGCCTCTCGCTCCCACTTCGACGGCAAAGACCCGTACCGTGTACGCCTCGTTCCTCCTCAGACCGGCTGCTAAATCACTGTATATCTCGAGCTTATACAGCTTATACAGGCGATTTTCATCCATACACGACTCATACGGGACGACGAGTCTGTATTCGAGAGAATGAGATCTGTAAAACTGATTTACACGCAACACTCAGGTTCTGGAGCAGGACTGCAGTTCAGTAGGGGACTATCAACCAGAACTTTCCGATAGGGTGTACAGCTGGTGAACGCGAAGAAGAAGAAGAGAAGTGTGTCGTTAGTTCGCCTATAAAAAAAATGTAAAGTTATCATCCTATAACCGAAGCACCACGATCTGAAAAGGGTTTATTTACTTTTAATCACTTTCCTTTTACTTTATCTTACTTTATATAACTTGTACGTTGACTACTTCGCTAGCTTTCCACACACGGAAAACACCTTACAGATGTGTAGGCTTTGGCACATTCACACATTATGTTTACTACTTAGACTCACAAGAAACTATTTATAGAACATCGGGTAGACTAGTGAAGTAAGGGCGGTGAGACAGCTTAGGTGAAAGGTAATTTAAGCCAATAAATCAACCAGACCCTTGACACGATACACATCACCCGTACCTGGCAAACATTTGTGGGTAGAGGAAATGACTGACGCTAGCCAGTGGTAAGCCGATATCCAACTGGCCCGTGTGTAATGTAACTATATGGATATCAACAGCAAGCACTGGGACGCTCCAAGGGCGGCTTGCAGGGAATATCCGATAACTCACCTGTCTTCCTGTGGCATGTTATTTGTAAACAGTAAATGTTTTAAATGGACAGAAAGAAGAAGAACTAGAAATCTCGTAAAATTTGGTGTTTAGACGAAGGGCAGCTTTCCATGTACACGGGTGTCTCCTTAAGTGCTCGCTCCACTCCACCACCATAAATGACGTTGGATCCTGTATATTTTAATTAGTTAGTTATTTAGTCGACATTTTATTCTTATTGAACATCGGATCATTAAATCCATAAGTGGTGGGATCACCTCCTCATTACATCCAACAGCGGCGTGTAGGTGCTGATGACGCCAGTTCCATGTTGGTTTTGTATTCCTCTTTAGCTTTCTGCATAGTGCTCTTGTCTAGTCACACCCTTTTAACTTGCTTTTCTTGCAGTCAGGTCTCGGTAACAGATTCATAGTCATCACTCGGTTCTGGTAAACGTTTTACTTCTCGTGGAGCATTCCGAATATCAACACAGTCCAAGGCTCGTCTGCTTTCCACAGCAGATTTACCTACAAGCATATCAGCGTCCTCATTTCCTTGCACGCCTGAGTGCCCTGGCACGAATATGAAACTGATATCTCTCAACCCGACCGCTTCAGAGACTCCAACCATTGTCTTTGGTCCAGCCGGTCTCCATCTTCCTGAGTATACTCATTGAGTCACTAAGAAAGCATGCGCTGGTAAAGTTCTGCGTCTCCAGTCATGTCGTGTACGTTTTCCTATGTTAGCAACACCTCAGACTTTGAGCAATATCTGATTTTATTGTCCTGTGTGTTTTTACCACTCTTTTTGTGCTGTGACAGGCGCTCTTTAGCATGTGAATTTAAGGCCGCAAGGTTATTGTGGTCGCCACTGACTGTTCAGCGTATGCTCGTCACTAGGTACACCCACCCACCCACCCCCCCCCACCCACACACACACACACACACCCACCCACACACACACACACGCATACACACACTCACACCCAAGTTTAAATTGTACATTTTACTGTAAATTGTAATTCGGTACAATTCAAATATACGAAATACAAATAGGATATTTAAATTAGTGAGCATACGCAGGGCTTTATCGGACCCTTGTTAAATGCACAATTTTATTCAGCGCTATTGTCGTAGACACTTTGTAGCTAGTACAGTTTCTTTTTTTGTCAGAAAAAACAAAGCCAGGAGCATAAGCTACGCAATAAATACACTGGATAATAATGTGTATTTGTCACCGTCATGGTATTGTCAATGGAATGGGCGACACTTATGGAAAAATTGGAAGAGAAAGATAAAGTTACAGAAATGCATAAGACTAGCATTAACATTCGTGGGCAGACTTTATTAATAATAATTATCTTACCGAGCTGTGTTAGACTCTACGGGGAAAAACCTGAAAGTCGGATGGTTCAATCATACAAGAACATTATCGAAAAACAATGCCCCAAATCAGCTCTAATATTATATTTGCTGGATTGCTAGAATATATAGATAGAGATATGCATAGCACCGATGCCAAAGTACACACTAAACCGTGGTTCAAATGTAAATTTGTTTTCATGTGGTGACGACAGATACAAGGGCAATAGAAAGAAGTAGGATGCAGAAACATGACAGGGTGCAGAAACATGGCAGGGTGCAGAAACATGACAGGGTGCAGAAACATGACAGGGTGCAGAAACATGGCAGGGTGCAGAAACATGACAGGGTGCAGAAACATGACAAGGTGCAGAAACATGGCAGGGTGCAGAAACATGACAGGGTGCAGAAATATGACAGGGAGCAGAAACATGACAGGGTGCAGAAACATGGCAGGGTGCAGAAATATGACAGGGAGCAGAAACATGACAGGGAGCAGAAACATGACAGGGTGCAGAAATATGACAGGGTGCAGAAACATGGCAGGGTGCAGAAACATGGCAGGGTGCAGAAACATGGCAGGGTGCAGAAACATGGCAGGGTGTAGAAATATGACAGGGTGCAGAAACATGACAGGGTGCAGAAATATGACAGGGTGCAGAAACATGACAGGGAGCAGAAATATGGCAGGGTGCAGAAACATGGCAGGGTGCAGAAATATGACAGGGTGCAGAAATATGACAGGGTTCAGAAATATGACAGGGTGCAGAAATATGACGGGAGCAGAAACATTACAGAGAGCAGAAACATTGCATGGTGCAGAAATATGACATGGTGCAGAAACATGACAGGGCGCAGTAAGATGGAGGAAATATAAATTACAGTTTAATTAATCCTCACAGATTATGACAGACGACGAAAGAGAATCGAAAGAAATGTTGTTACCCTATTAGATGTTATTAATCACAACGCCTACATATTGCATTCTGTTCTAAGCCTAGGACCTCGTTCTTCTTTTCGAAGTCCGCACATTGTTGTGTTAGCAATCATGTCAGTTAGCGTCTGTCCATATTCTTTTTCTGCCTTCTATCCCCTACTGGAGCATTAACCGTCAATCAGCTCACGTCAAGTCGTTCTATATTAGCTATCACATGCAGCGCTCCCCCATGTCCTCACCAGCTTTGTAACTTCAATCTCTAGTTCCCTTCTCCGTGTGTGTTTTTTGGTCTTCCTTTATTACCTGGCCTATCTGGGTTCCAGTGGAAAGACATTCTAGTTATATTGTTCTCTAGTATTTTTTTTCATCGGTCCCATCCAACGCCAGCGTCTTTTCTTCACCTCTTGATTCACTGAAACTTGTACTGCTCTCTCCCAAAACTCTATATTAGTGATTCTATAATACCATTTAATTCCCACTGTTCTGGGCAGGCACCAGAAAATGAATGTGTGTAGTTTTACTAGAATAATTCCTGTGTTGTTCACCGTGTTCCCGCTCCGTACAACAGAACTGTTGACATGAACATTTTAAAAGTTCAAGTTTAGTATTATTGTCAGTTTCTTTTGACCTTCGCAAATTTGCTCGCGCTCTAAAAACTCACAAGTTGACAGCTAATAAACCTTGAAAGAAATATATATCTTGGCTACCTTCTGCTCTGTACATGCAGTGCCAAACAGACGGTAGAGATGTGGGTGTCATGGCTACCCAGACGACATTAGATGTAGTAGCACCAGAAACTGGGTATCCGAGCCACCCGAAGATACCTTTATCTCTATGTCGGGTGATCACACAATAAACATCAGAGATGGATCTGCCTTGGCTACCAAAGGACTACCTTATCTTTATATCGGGTGTCCTCACACATAAACACTAAACACCAGACTTTCTAGGTCACAAGATTAGAAAAGGTAATTGAAGTCCAACAGCAGAAACTGGCGTTTCGGTAAAAGGTGTTGGGTCTTCAATTTTCCTAGTCAGAATATATTAGGCGTAGTGACCTGCTATTTTCCTCCTTGCATTGCCTTCTTGTTAGCTTCTTAATGTTGTCTAGAACTACTGTATTATTTCATTTGCCTTGCTTAATTCCAGAGCCATAAAAACGTAATCTGCGTCTAGCTAACCCAACCCCTGACTTTAACAGACACACACACTAACCGTTATATCATCACAAGAGCAAGCCGATTTCACAGCACGGAGCGCAACTTTGATCTAAATGTGGGCTTCTTCTTAAAGGCCATGCCGTGTGGCGTTGGTAGTCATGTCTATTCACAGCCCTCTGTTCAGTGTTGCCACTTTGGATGTTTTACATACAGATTTAGATGTTTTTACTTGCATTTAGATGGCGTTTTTGACTTTTAGATGGTAGATGTCTTTCTAGATGTTTTTATTTGGAGTGAATTTATCAAATCTAACATAAGAAACAGGATGAAATTTTACCTCTTAAATGCTATTTTGCAAATAAAATTGTTAAGAGTAGGAAAAGGCTGTTCCACTTATCAGCTCCATAGTTGGGTATTAAAAGAAATTGGAACAGCTAAAGCATTCCAGAGCCATTTTGGATCGGTAGCTTCAACTTCATCATCCAAGCTAAGTTTATCCAGTGGATCTTGTAAGGCAGACTTCAGTAAAGATGAGGACATGATTCTATAGGGTAAGTCATATCAATTGCTATGTAATTTGTGACTTTTTCCATTTGGATGTTTTTTCTAGATGTTTTCTACACAAATTTAGATGTTTTTAAATATTTTTTATCTCCGTTTTGGATGTTTTTTGACAAAGAAAGTGGCAACACTGCTCCTGTCTAGTGTAATCAACTATTATATGGATGCTCTCCCATGCCATGATTAAACTGTCCAGCATCTTTTCTCTCCTTCCTCTGCCTCTTTTCCCCTCCAACTTTCCTACTGTCTCGATGTACGCCAGTTTTCTCCTTCTCGTCACTTCTTACTTATGTTACTCGTTTTTATTTGTACCGGATGTTCTCATAATTAGCCAACAAAACCACATCTTCATAGCTTCCAAATACTTGTTAACTAATCTACAAAATAGCGATAATTCACTTCCGTATACCAAGATGGGATTTATATAGCTTTGACGAATTCTGTTTCTTGTCTCAATTAACAAAGAAAGATTGCAGGAAAAAAAAAAATTCTTCGTTTTACCGAATTCTGCCTTTGCTTGAGTTATTCTACATTTAACTTCTTTAACTTCATTTTAATTTTAAATTTTTTTAATTACAGTCTTCTGTGACATCGTCATAACTTTCCGATTCCGGTCTGAATTTTTTTTTATAGTATACAGAAAAATACCATAACTTTTGGAGATTTCAACGTTCATTATCCAGTCTGGGAGTGTCTGGCATCTCATGGGGACAATCAACTAACGATATTAAATGACGAATCTGCTACACGTAGAGACCCCATACCAGATAAACCGGATACTGCTACAGCCTGAACAATGGTCACCTCAGAATTAGCAGGCAATAAATGGAGAATTTCAGAAAGTAATGGCAAACTACTGACCGTAAAATTTGTCTACAAAAATCACAACCAAAAAAATGCTGGGGTTGGTTCTGCAGCGTCCTATAAATGATACACAACTACATGGAGAATAAATTAGTAAGAAAATTGTGGCCATTTAACGATAACAATAAACTCCAGAATTACAACACTTGAAACGGAAAGAAGTTTAGAAAAATAAAATCAAGCTTTAATTTTTAAAAGGCAAAATGGGAAAGTTTAGGAGAGAAATAAAAAAAGAATTGAGAAAGAGAAGAAGAAAAAGAAGACGGCGTACATTTGCATGCTGAGAGGTTCACAAATAGCATACTCAAAATAGCAGTTAATAACATACCTAACCAGAATATGCCAGATGACCTTAAGAAGGGCACTAAGACCTAGAAAAGGCGCGGTGAACGCCAAGCACTGGCCACCATTATGGGTGCAGGTAAAGACACATCAAGAGAAGTAATGGAAGTAGCGCTAGGTACAGCACTGTTAAATCTGAGAAGGAAGCAATTAATATACAATTACTGGCTTCAGATCGCACACAATCATCGTCCAGTATAAGATGCTTTTAACATCAATACAAACAAGTTCAACTGGATGCCAACAAGAAACATTCTTAGGCCAAAAAAACTAATAAGGAACTAGCAAGAACACTTGAATTAAGCAGGAGATAAAAGCCTTAGATACTACCACAGGAACTGAAACCATCATATGTAGACATGAACCTGACAAAACAGATTTTCCAAAACACTGAGCCACTGTAAGTAAGGCAAAACACAAAACACTGATCTACTACAAGTAAGGACTACGGCAGAGAAGCACATTAGAAATACTGAAACTGATAACCAGATAATAAACAAGGATGGATCCAAAAACAAGAAAGGAGAAGTAGGAGCAAGTTGTTATATTCCTTATTGGAGACTCCAAAAATCTTATAAAATCACAGATGATACGTCAGTTTTCACAGCCGTATTTAGCAGCAGAAATTACCCCTCTTGAAACTGACAACAATGACAGATTCTCTTTCATCGGTAAAATCACCAGGAAACTATGCACAGAGAAGTATATCATACATACAATAGGGGATATTAACACTAACCACACAACCTAGGAACATCATATGCCAGATCACCATAGCATGAGTTCCAGCGCACAAAGGCATAGTTGGTAATGAAAAGGCGGATATTTTAGCAAAAAGAGGTACCAGCAGTCATAGTATAATAGAAATAGGTCTCGGAAAAAAACTAACTAACGGGAAGAGTCAAATCGAACGGTAAATTACATGAATGTGGAAGAGACAATGGGAAATGAGTGCTACAGGAAGAAGGGCGTGCGAATATTTGAGAGGAGACACCCTGATATCACAAGTCTCAGACAACCTACAAATTCAAGCAAATAACAAATGATGGAGATTAAGACTTGGATACTGGAAAGCCACAACATCCTTATGTTTGGATTGCTTAAGCTTAGATTACATCCAGGAGAACACGATAGTCCACTTCCTGCTAACATGTACCCTATACAAACAGGAAAGGAAACTTATATCAGTCTCTATAGATACAAATATGATAGAACAGAGACAATAAAGAATCGAGGAAAGTAAATAACAAAAGAGAAGGAATTAAACTGTATGAAACAACCTTAACTGGCCTAAGACTGGCTTACTATTCTCTTATAGTAGTGGATATTGAGAAAGTGTCACATATACAAACCAAAAGACCCAAACTAGTAACCAAGGAGCAAGTAATACGAAATAAGAAAAACTATAGGTGATATCATACGCAACACTAGTGACCATTTAAGGCTGGATCGACCAGGGTCACGTATTCTCACAGCTGTATCTGCTTTACTTTCATATATTTAGAATGTTGTACACGAAACGTTAGAAATTACCAGTCTAACACTTTGGAATAAACAGTATGTAAAAAATACATCTTTTCTCTACAAGGGCGTGAATATATCCCAGACAAACAGCTGAAATCTCTACAAACAATAAACAGCTGAAATCCAATAAAGAAGCGGAAAGCCATATTAGCAACAAACATATGTACGGGAAAGGTTTCGATAGAAAACAGTTTTACAAATACACGTGACAGT